CGGGCGGGGCGGCCATGGAGGGAAGGAGGGGAAGGAGGAGGCAGCGAGGGTCCGCCTGTGCGAGGCGCCATAGCGGGGAGTGCGGGCAGCAGGGGAAGGGCTTCCACTGCCGGGTGGTGCCGACACCGCTGGCAGTGCCTGGGGACACGGGTACGGTGAGGATCCATTCTTACCAAGAGGCATTTATTTAACCTGCTCACGCAGGATAATCAGCCTGGGGCACCTCCTCCCTCTGCACTGACTTGTTGACAGGGTTCCCTGCGTTTCCGGAGTCCTGCTTCCAGGCAGGATGAGCCCTTCCCAATCGGATTTACAGGAGCACATTGTTAATTACATGGACCAAGTAAAATCCATTTGGAGCTCAATTATCCTTGTCATTGTCAGGGTGCCATAAATCCTCTTGCTGCAACTTACAGGTCTCTTTTCTGTCCCTGGCAGACCGAGCTTTTTCTAACAGCCTTCTACATACTTAAAGACATCGTGTCTCAGTCCCCTCTGATGTGGTGTGACTTAGAAGCTTATGGTTTTCCAGGACACGAAGTGTTGGAACAAGTAACGGAGGAATAACTCCCCACAGCACAGCCCCCAGCCACACACCCGACCGAAAGGACTGACTTAGCCCCGATGAAGCTCATGGAAGTATTTTTGTTCCTCTGGCTTTCCCCTCAAGTTATTTTTAAGGTTGACATCTAACAACAGGGCACTCACAAATATAGCTACAACCTTAATATGAGTCAAGGAATTACTCACATCTTTAACTGCAGGAAGATGGGAAGAAGTTGCTGCCAACAGCAAAATCATCTTCACAGCCAAATAGTTCTACCTATACACTAAGAGCGAGTTCTGATCTCCCACCCATCCTCACTGCAAGAGTAATACCCTTCGACTGTGATGCTGCTCTTTGAGTGCTTGTGTCTTATTCCCAGCACTCCAGAAATACAATAAAACACTAAATGCACATTGTCCTAAGACAAGAGTTGTACGATTACTTCTGCTCCCGCACAAACCCGGTTTTGAAAGGAAGAGACTTGCACTCAAATATATGCTTAATTTTATTTATTACATTTAAGAAATATTAACATCTCAGGATATCTGGTTTACCATCTAAGTCCAGTCATAAGCAACAAAAAGAAAAGTGTTAACCATGTTTCAAATGAGCATTCTTACATTCATTCCCCCCCTGTAACGTAAAGAAAAGTGTTCAGCTGTATTAAATTCTTAGGTGTTTGACTAATGGAAGAAAAAATAATCATTAAAAATGTCTTAACTACCAGGCATCCTGGTTTGTTAACTGGTTGTTGGCACTTGTGTTCACAATCAAGCACTCTGGTTCCTTGGCTAAATTTCCCCCTTCTACCCAGAACTGTGGTTTTGGTTATTTATTTATTTTTTTTTAGGTTTTTAATTTTTTTTATTTCTATCTGGATATGTAAGTTTGTTCAAATAAGTCTAGAAAGAAAAGAAACCTCGCGTTGCCTGTGAGACGGTCCTGCACTGCGTTCCAACCTCTGTGAGAAATACCTATGGCCTATGGGATAAGTGAAGGAAGATTATTTGCTTTCTGAATCTTAACTGAGCAAAAAGTTCTGTTTGAAGTTCATTGCAACTGAAAAAAGTACAGAAACGCTGTCTCCATTTGATGGTGTGCATAAACGTTACACTCCCATATATAGCAAAAATAGCTTTTATTTATAATTTACATTTCCACAAGTGAAAATTGTACATTTTTTACATAGACCGTTTCGTTCCGTTTAAATTTTCACGCATCTACAGAACTTTCACACAATGACACCTGAAACTGTGCAGGCAAGTTAAGAAATTCAAATACAAAAATGTATTTATTAACCAAACAGTAGTTGAGGCCCTGCCTCAGTTGAACATTTTTATTTCATATAAAAAGTATTTGCCTTCCAGGGATAACACAGCAGCTCTTCTGTAAAAAAACAAATAGAATGTTCATACCTCGGTTAGTTTAAACAGACTCATCAGGTTCTGTCTTTATTTCTGTAGATGCAGGTGTGCTCTCTTCTGCACAGGCAGGAGGGGTGTCATCAGGTTCTTCTTTCACTTTAGGTGACTCACAGGACTCTTCTGTTTCTTGCTTAACAATGTCCAACATTATATTTAGTGGGTTTTCTACGGGAGTTTTGCTGGGAGATGGCGTGCAATCGAATGATGATGTCTGCAAAGCCAAAGTCAAAACAGCATTAACACGCATTAAAGGAAGACTTTTTAGCTCCTTATCCCTTTTACTCTTTCCAAATGCAAACACATTGATGGTCAGGCACTCAGCCCCCAAACTTCTACTTTATGAAGATCCTAAGAAAACAAATTTGCTTTTTTAATGGCATTACTTTTTCCACAATTCCTTTGGAAGTGTCATCCAAGCAGTGATGGAATGCTTAACGCGCTACCACAAACTATTCCCTGCATCCCCAAGGGAACTCTAACTCCCAAAACACCACACACCCTAACACCCATCTATTCCGTTTTTGCAAATTCCTCAGATGACATGTGTTACTCAACAACAAATCCAGGATGTGGTTTCAAACCATGGTTTCACTTCAGTCGTGTGTAACACAAGCTGTCACGGCGCATCGCAACCAGAAATACACCCTGGCTAGTTCTGTATTACAAGCTTGCCATGCGAGCCTTGGGCAAGAGAAATGGGTAGCTCTGAACACATCTGCTCCTTGCAAAGGCAGAGATCCAGCAAACAAAGAGCAAGCCAAATACTTCAGAAAACATGAAGAAGGATTCACTTACGTTTTGGTAATCTTCGTAGCAAGATGGATGGTAAATCTGAAAGAGAACAATTATCTGTTTAAATACATTAAATGACAGCAGGATCATTGGTTAAAAACAGAACAATGTCAATTACACATCATCACACAACAGCACAAAGAGGCCAAGAATGGTGTCAAATATGGCTGGGAAATGATTCTGTACTTACTTAGGACAAACTATAATACAGGAGCCTGGAAAGTGCTGGGAATTATCTGTATACAGAAATAAATGAACCAGTACCTACACCTATATAGAAAGATGTTCATTTTCCCTTCAGCACAGCAGTATAAGGGAAGGCCAACGAGGCTACACTAATGCCAGTAGGACTTCATGCACTTCCAAGGACTGAGATATTTATGCACTTGGAAGCCTGGAAAACTACCACAGGAATCCTTCAGGAGAAACAAAGCCCTTAGAATCACAGGATCATGGAATGGTTCGGGTTGGAAAGGACCTTAAGATCATCCAGTTCCAACCCCCTGCCATGGGCAGGGACATCTCACACTAAACCATGTCACCCAAGGCTCTGTCCAACCTGGCCTTGAACACTGCCAGGGATGGAGCATTCACCACTAAAGCCCTTGGCTTTCCCTTTTTTTTTTGCTGTAATTCTTTGGGGTTTTTTTACTATAAATACCATACGTAAGTACAACCAGATTACCTTCTCGTCTACTCTGATAGCATTCTTCAGGTGCCACTCTTCCTCTTCCTCATCCCAGTACTGTTCAAATTGCTCTTGGCAAATTTCACAGCTCTGAAAAGTTATTACAGAATAACAGAGATAAATGAGATTAATAACAGAGAAAAATGAGATCATTCCAACAACTTACTAACTTCAGAACCTAGGGACAGTCAAATAAGGTTCTTTTAAATACATTCGGACTACAACATGATCTGTCTTCCACACTTTAAAAGTAACTTTAGAAAACATTAATTAAATATTATTTGAGTACAGTTTGCAGGTTAGGATCTGGCCTGACAACTGCTGGCACTTAGAAAGGTAAGCTTTGCCCTTTCAGCTAGGAAGTCTGCAGAGCACTTCCTAACAATCCAATGCCGGTTTACTGACATGTAAAGACAATTCAGCACAGGGATTTAATTTTATGGCATTATCTTCACTCTTCTCCTAAACCTGGAGCCTCAGCCTAACGAAAGCAGAATATTTAGATGAAGTATTAACATTTTTAGTACTTCTGTGCAAAATAAACTGGAGAACAAAGCACAAAAGCCCTTCATGGCCTGGCAGGTAGTTGTAATTGTAACAACATTTGTACTTGATCACTACACCAATTCATCTACCAAAACACAGCTCTACAGGTTACTTTGAGGTATTTCTTTGTCCTAATGCTTATCTTCCACCAAAACCAAATTCTGTGTAAAAGTATGTAAAACCCAATAAGCCCAACTGGAATGGCAAAGGACCATTTCCAATTCACTTGCTTTAGTTACTCTTTCTACAGAAACATTCAGCAAATTAACACACTCTGCCCATTTCAATGATGGGTGTAGATTATATTGAACTACAGGTGGTTCATACTATCTGCCCCTGGGAAACAACCATTACACACACAAATACACCACCTGGGAAGTGGCTGCACAAAGACCCAAGAACAAGGCTTCAGTCTACATATGCTGTATGAAAGAATGTATCTGAGCTAATGAACACAAGCTGAAACTTACCTCAACCGCTCCAGCAGGTCCTGCAGGGACACTCTGAAACTCCTTTTCTTTTGCAGCTTCTTGTGTCTTCAACACAACCTCTTCATGAGCTTTTTCAAAGAACTGGCTCTTTGCACGCTCCTCGAGGTCAGCTATTTCCTCAAATTCAATCCAGTCCTAAGGAAAAAGGTTTCATTCACAGTCAGACTCTGACAAATAGCCAGAAATGGCTAAAAAAGTAAAGCTCAGGGACTAAAAAGAGCACCAACCAAGAGACGTCCCCCGAGTACCATATTCAATGAATCTTCATCAGAGCTGCGGTGCTCCTCACATGCAGCACCAGCACAGTGGGTGCTTTCTCACAATGCTACACTTCAAAAAGGCTTTTTCCATGAAAACCACTAGCCTTCATTCCATTCTCAGTGCAATGAAAACAGCACCAATGACTTCAAACTGGTTATTGTTCATCATACAATTCCCTTTTGTATTTCAAAAGGCATTTGAGAACTACTTGAAATAGCTAAGACGTTGTTTACCACAGGCCAGCTTGTGTGATGATGCAGATTTCAACTGCAAGCTTACAGCCCATACGTAAGTAAAACACAGAATCCAGCCTGTAGTTTATCAAGCCACACGTTGCACTACTTACTGTTAAACTGTAGTACCATCTCCTGTGTGTAATTTTTCTGCTAACATCTTTCTCTGTCCGGTTCTGACGATAATGCCAATCCAAATGATCTGCATAAACATCTGTCTGGGAAGTGGTGAATCTCATTCCACACGAGTAACACTGAATTCCAGTGTACAGACGATTTATAACACTATCATATCGCCTACAAAAAGTGGGGGGAAAGAAGTCTTAACATTTCTTTGAAAAGACACAGGTAAGAAGTTGCTTATAGGTCCACAAGAGGAAAAACATTAATCTACTGCACAGCCAAAGCACACATACAGATAAATTCTTCCTCATTTTCATAGCACAATCAACTGGAACATTCAAATAACAAACAAGGGGCTCAAATTAACCCCATCAGCATATGAGAAACTTGCTAGTGTTAAGTTTCATGTCTGCTAGTTTCATCAGCAAATAGTGCATAAAATCTTACAGCCTGCATTTGGCTCAGCTTTGCAAACTACTGCAAAGGTGGTAAAACCAGCAGTTATGCAGGAAGTTGAAGGGAGATGAGGCCACAGAGATGCTGCGAGGGCTGGAGCAGCTCTGCTCTGGAGCCAGGCTGAGAGAGCTGGGCTGGGGCAGCTGGAGAAGAGAAGGCTCCTGAAGGGGAGACCTTAGAGCAGCTCCAGTGCCTAAAGGGGCTCCAGGAAACCCGGAGAGGTGCTTTGGACAAGGGCCTGTAGAGACAGGGCAAGGGGAATGGCGTAAACCTGCCAGAGGGGAGACTGAGATGAGCTCTGAGGCAGAAGCTCTTCCCTGTGAGGGTGCTGAGGCGCTGGCACAGGGTGCCCAGAGAAGCTGTGGCTGCCCCATCCCTGGCAGTGTTCAAGGCCAGGTTGGACACAGGGGCTTGGAGCAACCTGCTCTAGTGAAGGTGTCTCTGTTCATGGCAGGGGTTGGGACTGGATGAGCTTTAAGGTCCCTTCCAACTCCAGCCATACCAATTCTCTGGCTTCAATACGTAGCACAACCTTACCAAGTAACATCATGCCACCTGCGTAAAGATAGCTTTCCCAGGTTAATTTTCCCTCTTTTCCTCTCGCCAAGGCTGACAGTAAAAACTGCAGGTCCTCTCAGTCACAAAATGACACAGAACCTTTTTCAAAAGCTCTCAGCTGTCTTGGATTAACTGTCTAGATATGACTATGTCATTATTTGTTAGCACTCTTTAAGCTCATTCTACTATACGCACTGTCTTAATTCTTCAACAGTGAAGTTAGTGAGATCTGGGACATTCTGATCTTCATTCTGGTCATCATCTTCCTCTTCAGCAGCTGGCTGGGCTGATGCTTCATTCACTTCTGGAAAGCATAAAGATATTTTACCAAAATTTCCGTACATCATCAGAAAGAAGCGACGTGCTCTTGACATTTACTAACTATTAACAAATACTATGTGACTGTGCTAACAGACAAGTGTGCAACAGCCAAGTCAATCATCTTCTAACATCATTCACATAAACAAAGCATACGAGAAACTGTAAGCTACTCAGGATTTCAATTTAGGCAAACAGATACTAGGAATTTACTCTATCACATACTCCACAGTCCTTTCCAAAACCAAAGTTCAGTTAAGAAAACCATGCAGGAGTTCACAACAGCTCTAATACTTCACTTTACACGTCAGTTGTGGATAAACTGAGTAATTAGAACATAATGGATCTACATACGTGCTGAAGTGGAATCAGTTTTTGACAGTTTGAGGATCCCTGTTTTCAGCAGTTTAGCAAACAACTCATTGACATCAACCTGCCCAAGGTGGTTATCAGGGTATGAATGTGGAACGGCTCCTGGGGAAAAACATCAAGGTTCAAGGAGACAAGAAGTTGCATCAGAAACTCAAGTCACGTTCAGCAGCGTGTTTCAAAACACACTTTTCCTTCAGCCCCTTGTTCCTTCCATTTTTATTCCAAATTATTTATCAGCTCTCTCTGCCTTATGGCTAGTCCTTGGCTAACTTTTTCCCTCGCAGTAAAAGTGCTATCTAAGCTGGTTGCCCATACACAGATTCCTACTGGACAGTTATTGGAATGCAGCATTTTCCTTATTTAATGCCTCAATATGTCACCAAGACTAATCTACTTCATCACCTACTTGAACTATTTCTGACTTCTTAGAAGCTTTTCATTACTAACCACTCATATACCCCTACAGACTGGGGCCTTCCAGCAGAGCAGACCAAAATGTATTCATTTTTTCTTTAAGACAACCTCACACCAAACCCACAGAGTCAATGAAACCTACTGAAAACCTTCACTGTTTGAGGGAAACCCCTGAAGAAACAAAGGTACTACAGAAACCATATCCACAGCCACCTCACTGAGGATTCCCTCAGTCCACACAGACCTTGTACATCAGGACACTATAAAGGTCATTTTTGTGGCCATGAACAAAAAGAATAACCCAAAGGAAAGAAAAGAGAATTGTTTTGTTACCCACCTGCAGGGTTCTGAACAAAACTTCCAGGATTTGGCAAATACTGTTGACCTTGGCCATAAGGCCCTCCTTGAGCAGACAGGAGAGATACCTGTGAAAGGCAACATTTAAGTATTTTTTGTACAATAATGTCATTTTCAGTTTCCTTATTATAATTTTATCATTAACTTCTCAAGGTTTCTCAGTCATTTTATACAGATTAAATTCCTTCCAGGAGTCAGTTTGGTATTAAAAGGTCCACAAATGACAACATAACCTTTCCCTCGTTTTCACTTCACACTAGAGACGTTTCAGAACACTCACTCACTTGGCCTAACATTTACATTAGAACAAACCAACCCCCGCCCCAAACCAAAGAAGAAACTCCAAACAAAGCCCAAACCAAACCAATAACCCCCAAACACCATTTCTTGTAGAGCCAGGAGCCTTCAATCCCATTTTCCAAACAGTTCTTCCTTTTAACTTGCTCCTGTTCACCAAAAGAGAGCTCATCACAAAGAAATTAAAGAAGCCAGGAAGGGTATATCAACAAATGCCAGGATCAATTCTGATCTAAGAACTGAAAGAGCATCCACTATATGAAACACATATGAAGGCAGGATTCTTTTAGCAAACCAGCCACAGTGAGCTTCAGATAGAAGAGGGTTTACAACATCCTAATAATAAAAATGGGGTGTTTCTCCCCCTAACTGGGTGCTTTCTGGCTTTACAAATTGTTTAAAACCTCATCCCACGAGAGCTCAGCAGGACACAGCACCTGCTTTCATACAATCACTTCATGTTCCATTATTATCCCTCAAATGAAAAAAGCTTTCAAATCTCTCCTCTACTGAAACATTGCTTTCACTGAAGTATTATTTTCCCCTTTTGACAAGAGTATTTCAAACAGGGGCCTCAGCAAGGACTTACAGAGCTCTTACAGCATGCTGGTGCCAAAGGGATTTTAGAAGACAGTAGTTCAACATTCACAGGATAGTTTGGGTTGCGAAGGACCTTAAGATCATCCAGCTCAAACTCCTGCCATGGGCAGGGACACCTTCCACTAGAGCAGGTTGCTCCAAGCCCCTGTGTCCAAGCTGGCCTTGAACACTGCCAGGGATGGGGTAGCCACAGCTTCTCTGGGCACCCTGTGCCAGCGCCTCAGCACCCTCACAGGGAAGAACTTCTTCCTTGTATCTAACCTGAACTTCCCCTGTTTCAGTTTGAACCCATCACCCCTTGTCCTATCACTACAGTCCCTGATGAAGAGTCCCTCTCCAGCATCCTTGGAGGCCCCCTTCAGATATGGGCAGCTCCTCTGCAATCTCCATGTAGCTTCTCTTCTCCAGGTTGAACAGAACAATGTCTGTTCTTTCTCAATTCCCCCAAATAATGGGTATCTTTTTAAACCTACTTTTCACCAGTACCAACAGGTGCAAACAGACCACAGACTTCTGCCCATTCCAGTTCTGCACCTCTTAGAAAATTGCATACATTCACTTACATTATAGCAACTTCTGATGCCTAAAGGGACTGACAATAAAGCTGGAAAGGGACAGGACAAGGGGGAATGGCTTTAAACTGACAGAGGGGAGATTTAGATTAGACGTTAGGAAGAAATTGTTCCCTGTGAGGGTGCTGAGGCGCTGGCACAGGGTGCCCAGAGAAGCTGTGGCTGCCCCATCCCCGGCAGGGTTCAAGGCCGGGGGGGACAGGCTTTTAGCAACCTGGGCTAGGGGAAAGGGTCCCTGGTCATTGCCGAAAAAAAAAA